CCCCAAAACCCCAAAACCCCAAAACCCCAAAACCCCAGTTCGCAACATCAAGCTGAAAAATTATGTCTATTAGTTTTATAGATTGTAGAAATTAGGCCTTTGTTTTAGATCTGGCTGGCTCTGTACATGAGAAGAGGCCTTTAAGGTCTTGAAACCTTCATTTGGGTTGGATGAAAGAACTGCTAAAACTATAGTTATGTCATCAATGACTGTATCTTCTTTCTTCCAATGAGCAACACTTCTTTTAACAACTTCGTTAATTCCTAGAGATAAAGAAATATCTTACCAGCTTGTTCATTGCGTTTTTCGATATAAGGGATGAGAATGTTCATTACATCTTTATTGCTCAAAAACTCCCATACTCCATCACTTGCAAGAACGATTGCTCTATCGTTATTTGTAAGAGTATACTCTTTGAATTCTGGACTTTGGATTACTCCAGCTCTGCACGCTCATAAATCTCCAAAAGATCGGCTCATAGCGAGACCTGGTAAATTTTGAGTACTTAACCAAACTCTTTTAGGCCCGTAATCCTTCCCATGTTCATCTTTATAGGCTTCAACTCTACCCCCATATTTAAGAATTCTGTCATATTCTCCCATATCTTCAGGTTTATGGTCCCTGGAAAGTGAGCTACATTTCCATTCCCTAGCAGATTGGCTAAGAAGAATCGCTCTGGAGTCTCCAAGGTTAGCACAAGTAAGTGTGCCATTTGGGCTTACAATACAAATGACTGCCGTTGTACCTGAAAACTCTATGTCAAACTTCTGCTTATTTTAAATCTGCATGAGTTTGGTAAAAACTTTGTTGAATAATTTTCCTCTTCCTAACACCTTCTTTCCCAATTAAATCAAAGATATTTTGGGAGTCATGCATTTCTTCATCATTGCTAGGCATGCTGGATCTTCTGCTGTTGAAGGTCTGAATGATCTGGTTGCCGTCATCCTTGGTCTTTACAATCTTCTCGAGATAGCTGATAGGTTTCTCAGAAGCCTTGCTTTTGATATTCCTAGGAAGCCTTTTTTTGATATATTTAGACACTCTATGTCCATTGTATCCATGACCGTCAAATACACTAAGAAAATACTGGCCAGGGACTCCACAAAAAGATTCAATTGTCATATAGGCATCTTGATTGGTTTTTCCTTGAAATCCTGTTTCAGGGCCGATCGGGATGAACCCAGTTCGAGATTTTTCAAACACTTCAACGACATTGGTGTTCTCTTTTTCATAAAAATCCTTAATAATTTTGGTTGGGTTAATCACAGCTCCTTTAAAGGGTTTAATCTCAGGGACTGCAGCTACGGGAATTGCTTCTTTTCTTTCCTCAGATATTATTCTATCATTCCTTCTCTTTTCAAAATGATGAGTTGCATTAAACCGTTTGGTTCTGTGAGCTTTAGTACTCTCTATTACTTTCTGGGAGGTGCCCCCATTCTTGAGAATATTATCAACAGTTGAAAATTTCATATCGATTTTCTGTGATAAAGGGGTATTCCAAGATTCTTTTGGGCTATTTCTCCGGGTAAATTTCTCACGAGTCACTATAATAAATAAGAACAAAAGGAGAGACCACCTACAAGATTTTGTATGAGGCGTGTTCCAATATGTACTATCATTAGGAATCTTCCTTTCTGGGAGCGTTCTTTTAGAATTTTTCCGGCCAAGCACAAAGTCTATTTTCCCAGTCTCAATTCTTCGCCTTGGGGCTCTAAAATAGTAAGTTTTTCTTACTGAAAATTCTGGTTGACTTTATAAAACACTTGGTGATTTTTAGAGTTGCCATGGATATCTTCTCTAAATTGGTTCTTGCTTCCTGGAGAATTCTGCCTGGTATTATACCTACATTGTAACTCAAAGGGCTTACTTATTAAAGTGTTTCTCATATTTTGGCATTATCACTTTGGAATCATTATTATTTCCTCTTTTGTAGAAAAAAACTATATCATTTGAGCAAAAAGATCAGGAGAATATAAATTTTCTGAAGAGTAATAGACCATTCTGACCCAAAGAAATTATTCCTTATCTACAAACCTACTTCTTCTTAGTACGTGATAGTGAATGTTTGTAGCTCTTAAAAGCCTCTTTTATTGCCTATATTTATCGAGAGTGTGAAATTTTCTTTACACAAATGGTAATTTATAGCATAAATTAAGGTATTGATTACTCCTTCTCAATAGGCAAAAGGATCTTAAGCTTTCTACCTTGACCCAAAACAGATACATTTTGATGGGTAGTTCATGAAATTTGCTGTAAAAATAAAGAATGAATAGGTAATACTATGTATTGAGCTTACCCTATCATTAATATCAATGGAGCGCATAATTGCAAACTTAAAATTATTTATCTATTATTTAAAGGGGTTTTGGGGTTTTGGGGTTTTGGGGTTTTGGGG